AATAATCTTGGACATTGATATATTTCAATACCTTATTTTTAATCTATGTTTGTAAATTTGTAACTAAAAGATTAATAGTATATAGAATATATGTTATAAAAATATACTTCCTCTGTTAATGGTTAATTGCAACAAAGGAATATTTTATATCTCACAAATAATATCCTTTGTTGCAATTAACCATTAACGGAAGAAGTATATTAATTGAGTATGATTGGATTAGATATGTTGTCAAAATAGAAATAAGTATTATTGTAGCTTATAAAATGGAAGTCACTAAAATTTGGCAAAAAAAAAAAACAAAAAAAGAAAGTGCAAAAAGGAGGGAAAATTATTAATGACATTGTGACAAGTGTCATCGTAGATTCGCTTTTAGTATAGGTTAATTGAATTGATACTTCACGCATCTTTATAGTTAAACTTCATAAAAATATGTTTGATCTGACTGAATAAATGGAGGCAAATTAAGTACGAAAGATAGAAAGAGCATGACATTATCCTTATATAAACTCTTATTATATAGTTAAACAGTGTATAGCTCACACAAAATGAATGAACTAATTAATAACTTATCGACATGTACATATTTCGACTTTAAAAATTCTCCTATTCAACTGAGCATATCTGCTTCATTGATATACTCACTCCGGGGACTAGTCAAAGACTTCAACCCGGCCAATTTAAACGAGCACATTAACTTTCTAGATGAGCTCACTTTGAGAATGAATCCAACATTTTCATGATTATACATTGAGATTTATTAAAAGCAGATGCGTACACTAAGTGCACGCATCCACTTTTGGGGGCTAGTTGTACGTGATATATGACAACATAACTCGTTACTTTTTATAAAAGCCTTCAGTATACCAATGAACCATGCAAGTAAATAAAAAGCCCACTAGCTCAAGCTTATTGACCTTAAAAGTAAGAGTATTGCAAAGTATTATAAATATCCCTCATGTCACATGGTATGACTCTCAATCTCACTTCTCTACTTCTTTGGTATCTCTTACTCTCTTATGCTCGGTCTTGGGGATCCAAGACTTAGGGTTCGCCGATAATCATCATCTCGGTTTCACCCCGAAACAATTGGGGGCTAGTTGTACGGGATATATAACAACATAACTTGTTACTTTATATAAAAGCCTTCAGTATACCAATAAACCATGCAAGTAAATAAAAAGCCCACTAGCTCAAGCTTATTGACCTTAAAAGTAAGAGTATTACAAAGTATTATAAATATCCCTCATGTCACATGGTATGACTCTCAATCTCAGTTCTCTACTTCTTTGGTATCTCTTACTCTCTTATATTATGCTCGGTCTTGGGGCTCCCAGGCTTAGGGTTCGCCATAATCATCATCTCAGTTTCACCCCGAAACAGCTATATCACCAACTTCAAAGATTTAAAAAGATAAATTGAAAAATGATAACAAAGGAGATCAAAAGTACCAACTACACTATATAACTAAATAAAAGCATGAATTGACTTTGTTACATAAGTACAACAGATTACCTTGATAGGCTTTCGATGATCTTTATTGTGCCCAACAGTTTTCAGTATACCAGCCATAAGACTACTACGCACCACCTGAAATTGCAAACATAATAAGATAACATGAAATATATTTGGGTCCGGATATAATTACATGATGCAAACATAAATATGCATATTATAAAGGAAAAATTAGAAAAATTAGGGCTTGTTCTTATTGACTGAACTGAACTGAACTGAACTGAACTGAACTGAAATGAATATTTTATAAGAGAAGGAAATTAGGAGCTGGACTGAACTGAACTGAACTGAACTGAATTTCAACGTAAGAGAACAGGCCTTTATCCCAACTTTCATCAATTTGGTTTAATAATCCCAATTTTGAATTATTCTAGAATAATCCGAACTTTGGGGAGTCTTCTTTTTCTTTAATCTCAAATGCCGGTTACTGTTGAATGGGTTAATTTTTTTTGTTTAAGTGACACGTGTCACAAATTAATTGGCTAAAAATATTTTTTAAAAAAAAACAAATCAAAAACAAAATAAAAAAAATGACCACTAGCCAATCCAGCAACCCGCCCAGGCCAGTCACCTCCCTCGCCATAGCTCAAGCCTTTTCCCCACCCCTAGAGTCGCCGCTCCATGCCAAACCACCATCCCCTCCCCGAAACTCCCACGCCACCAGTCAAACCCAAAAAACCACCGGCCCCTACTCTTGAAAACCCCAAAAGCCACTAGCCCCACTCTCGAAAATCCCTCACAGCCACCAACCCACTCCCGAAAACTACCAAAACACTCCTCCCCCACCATAAAAAAAACCCTAGATGCTAGGGTTTCGGGGGTGGGGGAGGAGTGCTTTGGGGTTTCGTGGCTGCGGATTTAAGGGTTACGGTGGTTGTGTTGTTTTGGAGTTGGTGATTTCGGTGGTTGTGTGGGGTTTTGGGAGAGGGGAAAACGGCGACTCAAAGGGTCGGGAGACGCGGCGGCCTAGGCTGTGGTGGTGGAGGTTAAGGTAGATCGGTGGGGGTGGCTGGCTCAGGGTCACCGGTGGGGGAAAGGGTTGGTGGGTGGTTTCTATTTTTATTTTTATTTTTTTTTATTTTTTATTTTTGCTTTTGTTTTTGTTTTTTATTTAAAAAGTTTTATGACCAATCGGGACTTGACATGTGTCAAGTAACCTGATATAATAAGTGATTGAGTTTGGTTGACTGGTTTGGGATTAAAACAAAAGAAAACCCCCAAAGTTCAATTATTCCAAAATAATCCAAAGTTGGGATTATTCTACCAAAATTGATGAAAAATGGGATTTTTTTTTATTATTTTTAATATTATAAAACAGGCGAGGAATACAACAAGAGAACATTAACAAAATTGAAAAGACAGAGTGACAGACACCATAGTGTTTCATAAAGCACTTTATGCCCTAAATGAGAGTTGAAACTTCACACATGTTTGTATAATATAAGATACTTCCTCCGTTCTGTTAATATTGCAACAAGGAGGAAATTACGATGTCAAATATCTATAATTGTGTAAGAGTAAAAATTATAAAAAGTTGATATTGTGAAGGTATTTTATTAGACGAATCCAACAAGATCCCACTTGACTATATTTTGTTTAACATATAAATCATATTATATGGTCAAACAAGAGTGATGAATAGTGCAAAAAGTCCGTTGTTGCAATATTAATAGAATGGAGGAAGTATTTGTTAGGGGGCGTTTGGTTCAAACAATGGCATGGGTTTGGAATGAGGAATGAAACCTGGGTGGCATGGGGTTAGAACTTGATACTTAATTTCATGTGTTTGGTTTTTATTTAGGAATGATAGTTTTCCTTTTAATTTTAAACATAAAAGTATGGGTATGAATCATACCCATACTTTTGGTTCAAGTATATTAGGTATAAGGTATGAGTTTGGAATGACCAAAACCCATACCTTGTGTTTGTTTCTAGAAATTTCATTTTTCAAACTCATACATCAAAATACCTTCACAATATTATATTAGGTAAAAAGTTATGGCCGAGTTAAAAATGGATTGGGTTAAAACGGATCGATTTATAGTCGGGTCGGGTTAATATCAGTTTGGGTTAAAACAGATCGGATTAAATCAGTTATTTATCTGGTCATTTTCGGATTGGGTTGAGTTTAAGTCGGGTTAAATTGGTTTGGTTTGAGTTCAAGTCAGGTCATATCGGGTTGGGTTGAGTTCAAGTCGGGTCAAATCGATGCCAGTTAAGTTTAGATCGGGTTAAATTTGAATTCGGATTAAGTTCAGGTCGGTTACATATCCGATCTGGGTCCTAAATTTCTCAAATCAAATTAGATCGGTTACAGTTCAGAATGGATTTTTTTTTTCCGGATTGGTTCGGTTTTGACACCTCCTCTTGAAAAAGTGACCTATGTAATTTTTTATTTTTTTTCAAAATGACCTTAATTAACAAACTAACCGAACGAGCCATAAAATATTTAACACGTGATCAATCTATTATTTCGAGATGAATGCATTACTTGTGTATGAGATGATATGTGAAAAGGGCTGATATGTTCCATAAAGCAGACATATCGGCCATATCGGCTTTTCGGTACTTGGCACGTGGAAACTTTATCATTGACACTTGGCAAGAAAAGCCTTGCATGCCTCGTAGCCACCTGTCATGAAATTTATTATAAATAGTAGGTTAAGCTTCATTAAATGGTAAGCATTTATTACTCTCTCTCTCTCTCTACTTTCTCTCTCTTACTTACCTTCTCTTTCTTAAACACATTCTAACTTTATCATCGGAGTGGTTATCCCCGGATCACCCCGGGGTTAGCTAACTTTTGTTCATTGTGTAGGTTCTCAGTTTGCCGATAGGAGTATCAGGATCTCGGGTTCGGACTCTCGGGTAATCGGATCCAGACAGAAACAATTTGGCGCTAGAAGGAGGGGGAAGTAGTGATCACTTCTATCGCCTAAGAACCTAACATACCAAATAACAATAATTATGGCCGAAAATAATGCAACACCAATAATAAGTAGAACGGTAAATCGACCGATTACAACACAGCCAGAAATTCAGGTAGAAGATGAAACACATACTTTGGAAGAAAACCAGTTCCACATGCCGTTAACCCCAGAAAGGCAGGTGGGGACAGTAGTGGACCCCATGGCAGAATTCACACCAGAAGAGTTTCATGTAGCAGCAAGAGTAATGACTACGATGAGTAAAAAGAGGAAAGAGGCTGAAACGGCTCAGGCTGAAGGGGGGTGCCGTTAATCAATCATGGTGAACAGTTAAATAAGGCAACGAATTCACCAAGGCACCGCCGGGAAGGAACGCTGGTAAGAACACATACCACGCCGCGTCAAATAGAGGGGCAGTCATCGAGTCGCACTATTATTACAAGAACCCATCAGCAGAGAAGTTCTTAGGTTAAAGGACAGGCACCACGAACTGTGGTGCAGTTAAGAGCATCACCGTTTGCACAAAGTATCTTAGATAAGCCGATGGAAAAAATTAAAATGCCGACCTGTAGGTATGATGGAAGAGGAGACCCGGGTAGATTCATAACGTCCTACGAGGGGCATATGATGTTGTACACCAACTCAGATGTTGTTTGGTGCAAAGTCTTTCCGACTACCTTAGTTGGGGCCGCGGCTGATTGGTTTAATAATCTGGAAAATGGGATGGTAGACAGTTTTGAGAAATTGACTGAGATGTTTGTGGGTCAGTATGTTAGTAACAGTGTGCAGCAGAGAACTTCAGGGGAGTTGATGGCGGTAGAGCAAAGGTCGGATGAGTCTTTAAGGGATTATATTAGGCGGTTTAATAACGAGGCAAATACAATCCCGAAGTTGCAACAAGAGATAGCTGTGATGGCATTGATGAATGGCTTAAATGATTCCGAGTTTAAGCGCTATCTTACACGAAAGAATTTTCAGACATTGGCAGCTGCTTTTAACAAAGCCCATGATTACATCAAAAGTGAAGAATTGATGAAAACGAGTAGTAAGAATGTAACAGTTGGCAAAGGTCAATATCAATATGAAGGTGCAGCCTCTGGAAGTGGAAGGCCGAGAACTTTGACCCCATGAAGGGGAGGGGGAAATCGGCAGGAGTTCAGAGCTACAAAACCACCAATGCGGTACAGTTCGTATACACCCTTGAATACACCAAAGGCAGCAATTTATTCGGTTAATCAGAATAGAGAAGGCTGGACAAGGCCAATTCCGATGAAGGCAAGACCAAGAGATGTTAAGAAGTACTGTATGTTTCATAGAGATGTGGGTCATTATACTGAAGAGTGTAAGCAGTTGAAGGATAATATTGAGGAATTGATAAGGAAGGGGCACTTGACTCAGTATCAGTTGAGTGCGGGGGGAGCTCAACCACCGCCCCGACAGATAGAAAGACGGCAGTTGGAAGCAAGGCCAGAAAGATCACAAGGTGGAGTGGTCCGACAAGGGGGTGGTGGAATGCCGCCCCTATCAACAGGAAGAGGGGTAGATGTGATTTCTGGGGGGCCGGTTCATGGAGGAAAAGTTAGTGGGGCAAAGAAACATCTATCTGAACACCGTCACATCATCAATGCCCTGGATACTGACAACCGCCCTCGGCCAGCTTCAATCCCAGATGTTGTATTTACTGAAGAGGATGCCAGGGGTATTGTCTTCCCACATGATGACCCACTGGTGCTGATAACAAAGATCAATGGAGCTGATATCAAAAGAGTTTTGGTGGATGGGGGCAGCTCCGCGAATGTCTTGTTTATGAAAGCTTTTAATGAAATGATGATTGGGAGGCAGTATTTGACACAGGTGTCTTATCTTATCATTGGTTTCAATGGATCAACGGTGAGACCAGAAGGAAGCATAGTTTTGCTAGTACGGTTGGGTGATGGGCCGACTACGAGAGATGTGATGGCGGAATTTTTAGTGGTCAATGTTCCATCAGCTTATAATGCCATTATCAGTAGGGCGATAATTCATGATGTCCAAGCAGTTGTGTCGATATACCATCTGACGATAGCCTATGTGTCAAATCTGGGAGCTGTTGAAAAAGTTCATGGAGGGCAGGTAATGGCGAAGTCTTGCTATGTAACGGCTTTGAAAAATCCGTCTGGGGATGATGCGGTGGCAAGTAATCCTAAGAAAGAGCTGGAGCCAACAGTACGGGATCTGGCCATGAGCAATTTTGATACAAGGCCGGAAGCAACTCCAAGGCCGTTGCCAGGAGGTAAAACGGTGCAGATAGAGTTACAACCAGGAGATTCCAGTCGGACAGTAAAAGTTGGGGCAGATATGGATGTAGATATGAGGTGTCATCTAATAAGTCTGTTGCGTGAGAACGCCGATGTATTCACCTTCTCGGCAAGTGAAATGCCAGGAATCCATCCTGGTGTAATGGAGCACAAGTTGAATGTTAACAGAGGGTTTAGGCCCATAAGGAAGAAAAAGAGAAATTTTTCTACTAAGAAGATAGAGGCCATAGAAGCAGAGGTTAATAAGCTCTTAGCAGCAGGGTTTATAGAGCCGTGCACATACCTAGAGTGGTTAGAAAATGTTGTCATGGTGAGAAAGCCAACGGGGAAGTGGCGCATGTGTGTGGGCTTTACTGATTTGAATAGGGCTTGTCCTTGCCTCGGATAGATAGATTGGTGGACTCTACTTCTGGCCATGCAATGCTCAGTTTTGTGGACGCTTTCTCGGGGTATCATCAAGTCAGTCTTCATAAGGCAGATAGGCCAAAAACAGCCTTCATAACAGATGTGGGTGTGTATTGTTATAAGGCAATGTCGTTTGGGTTGAATAATGTTGGAGCAACTTATCAAAAGTTAGTTGATAAAATTTTTGAGAAGCGGAAAGGCCGAAATGTGGAGGTATATGTAGATGATACAATTGTTAAGAGTAGAGAAAATAAGGATCACATAGCTGATTTGAAGGAAACATTTGAGACATTACGGAAATATCAGATGAAGTTGAACCTAGAGAAATGTGTATTTGGAGTTTGATCAGGGAAATTCTTGGGTTTTATGGTTAGTGAACGGGGAATAGATGCAAATCCCGATAAGGTGAATGCAGTGCTTGAGATGAAACAACCAAAAACTATTCAAGATATACAAAGGTTAACTGGAAGGATGGCAGGGTTAACTCGGTTCATCAGCAAATCTGCTGACAAAGCACTTCCATTCTTTGTGGCTTTGAGGTAGAACAAAGCATCGAGTGGGGAAAGGAGCAAAAGGATGCATTAGAAGTTGTAAGGAATCATTTGAGGTCTCTTCCAACTGTGGCAAGGCCAGAAAAAGGGGAATTGTTGCAACTATATATCTCGGCTTCTCCAAAGACGATAGTTGTAGTGTTGCTAATAGAAAGGAAGAAGTTACAAATGCCGGTATATTTTGTCAGTCATGTCCTAAGTGCGACTGAACGCAAATATTCGATAATAGAAAATATGGCATTGGCAGTGGTCACAGCGGCAAGAAAGTTGAGGCCGTATTTTGATGCACATCCGATAGATGTTTTGACAAACCATATGTTGGAAAAGTCTTTGCGCAAGATGGATACATCGGGTCGGCTGCTAAAGTGGGCTGTGGAGCTGTCAGAGTATGAGATAAATTATAAGCCTAGAGTTTCGATAAAAGCACAAGCCTTGTCTGACTTCATTGTGGAAACTTCATACAGTGATGAGGAAGAAGAATTGGGAACTTGGCAGGTTTCAGTGGTTTATAATCTAATACCTATGATATAAAGATGAATTACAAGTTTTAAAGTTAAACAATTAAGATATAAAAATATTTGACGCGTAAAATACTTACTATTAGCTTACAATGAGGCAGGTATCAGTAGATGGATCCGCAACATCAACTGGATCAGGGGCAGGGATAGTGATAACGACCCCAGATGAAAAAAAAATTTGAATATGCAATCAAATTTAAGTTCAAGTCCACTAACAATGAAGCTGAGTACGAAGCAGCCATAGCAGGAATCTAGCTATCCATGGCGGCCGAGGCAAAGCGATTAATTCTAACCACCGAATCTCAGTTAGTGTCCAGCCAGTATACTGGGGAGTATGAAACAAGAGAGCCAACAATGATAAAATATACTGAAAAGATGAAGCAATTAACAGTACAGTTGCAATACTTTGAAATCAATTTAGTGCCGAGAGCACATAATGCACAAGCTGATGCCTTGGCAAGGTTGGCCAGCTCAAGCTTTAATGATTTGGAAAGAACATTTATGGTGGAGATATTAAAGCACAGAAGTATTGAAGAGATATAAGAACAAGTGCACTGTATCAATAGTGGCACGCAGTGGTTTGACAAAATACTGGCATATTTACTATATGGGGCTTTACCCCTTGATAAGGAAGAATCAAGAAAATTGCGCAAGGATAGCGTGTGGTTTATAATGCATCAAGTCCAACTGTACAAAAGAGGATTTTCGTTACCACTGCAGAGGTGCATAACAGATCTTGAATCTATCAAGTTGATTGAAGAGATACATGAGGGTACTTGTGGAAATCATCTTGGAGCAAGAGCACTGTCACGGGAAGCAATGAGAAGGGGGTAAAATGGCCGACAATAAATGAAGATTCTGTTAAGTATGTGAAAAAATGTGAGAAATGTCAGAAATTTGCACCCGTTAGTTATCAATTTGTCGCCGAATGATTTAATGCCAATACTCAATCCAATCCCTTTCGCACAATGGGGAATGGATATAGTAGGGTTGTTTCCCTCAGCAACAGGCGGAAGGAAGTTTCTCATAGTGGGGGTAGATTATTTTACAAAATGGATAGAGGCGGAACCAGTAGCAAAGATAACAGCGTCAGAGGTGAAAAAATTTATCTGGAAAAGTATTTTCACAAGATTTGGGTTACCAATGGCAATGGTCTTTGACCATGGATCTCAATTTGACTGAAAACCGGTAAAGGATTTATTGTCCATGTATAAGGTGAAGTTCGCATATGCAGCGGTATGCCACCCACAGTCAAACGGCCAGGAAGAATCAGCAAACAAGCAAATTATAGCAGCAATCAAGAAGAAAATAGAGGATGCAAAGGGTTTGTGGGCTGATTTGATACCAGAAATTCTATGGGCAAATAGAACGACAGTGAGAGAAGCAAAAGGAGAATCACCATTCACATTGGTATTTGGAACAGAAGCGGTGGTACCAGCAGAAGTAGGGTTGCCGACATTCAGAATTCAGCATTACTGTGAAGATCAGAATGATTTGCTATTACGACAACAACTAGATTTTCTCCCTGAAATACGGGAGAAAGCATCAGTCAGGTCAGCCGCCTACAAAGACAGAATGTCAAGGGAATATAACAAACGAGTTGCATATCGACCTTTGTGTAAAGGCGATTTAGTACTGCAAAGGACAGCAGCCACAGGAAAAGGTAATGAAGATGGAAAGTTGATGGCAAATTGGGAAGGGCCATACCGGATAAGAGACATGGTGATGTAAGGGTCCTTTTACTTGGAGACAATGGATGGAAAACCATTGAAAAATGTTTGGACTACAGCGGTACTAAAAAAATATTATGTGTGAGTAGTGTAAAATTGTTTTGTAAGCAGCAAAACTAATGTTAGTAACAACAATATCAATAGTGAATATATACAAGTTATCGGTTACAAGTTCTGTTGTTGAAAAAGGCATCCTCCACTTAACAAATCATCGTTAAGTGGGACGGACAGCTAAAAACAGCTTCTGTGAGGTTAATGTACTCACAACCTGATCAGTTGTGATCATTAACTCGCGAGGTTGCTGGTTCAAAATATAATTCCGGTAAAATCAAATCAAGTATATGCCGATAAGAGGCATAGCTTTGATAATGATCACCAAGAGGGTGCTTAACTGACTAAGAAATTGGTGCAGTAAGCGACCAGTATTATACTCTGAACCAGCAAAAGAAGTTCCGGTCTAGTGCATATAATTGTTTCACAAATATATGCACTAAGGGGGCAAGAAATAGGGTTAATTTGATATTATCTTTGTTTAATTGAAAAGCTAAAACTGGAAAGGACGACAACTGATAAGTCAAAAGTGTAAAGTGGAGTTAGGACGTTAAGCTCAGTAATGTCGTAGCCATGGGA